GAGTGTGTGGGGTTGTGTGGGGGTGTGTGGGGGTGTGTGGGGGTGTGCGGGGTGGGGGTGTATGGGGGTATGTGTGGGTGTGTGGGTGTGTGTGGGTGTGTGTGTGTGTGGGTGTGTGTGGGTGTGGGTGTGGGTGTGGGTGTGTGTGCGTGTGTGTGCGCGCGTGTGTGTATATGTATGTATGTATGTATGTACGTACGTACGTCTGTATGTATGTATGTATGTATGTATGTATGTATGTATGTATGTGTGTATGTATGTATGTATGGATGGATGTATGTATGTATGTATGTATGCATGTATGCATGCATGCATGTATGTATGTATGTATGTATGTATGTATGTATGTATGTATGTATGTGTGTTTGTGTGTGTATGTATGTGTGTATGTATGTATGTATATGTGTATGTGTGTATGTATGTGTGTATGTATGTGTGTATGCATACATGCATGCATGCATGCATGCATGCATGCATGTATGTATGTATGTATGTATGTATGTATGTATGTGTGTATGTGTGTATGTGTGTATGTGTGTGTGCATGTGTCTGTATGTGTATGGATGTATGTATGTTTGTATGGTTGGATGTATGTATGTGTATTTGTACATGTGTATATATATATATGTATATGTACATGTACATGTAGATGTATATGTATATGTATATGTACATGTATATATATATGTACGTATATGTATATGTGTATGTATATGTATATGTACGTGTATGTGTATGTGTACGTGTATGTGTATGTGTATGTGTATGTGTGTGTGGTGGGGGGGGGCCGTATCGTGGGACAGCTGGAGGGCCGTGGGCAGCCCAAGGGAGGAGGAGGAGGAGGAGGAGGAGGAGGAGGAGGAGGAAAGGGAGGAGGAGGTGGTGGAGGAGGAGGTGGAGGAGGAGGACGACGAGGAGGACGAGGAGGAGGAGGGGGAGAGGGAGGAGGAGGAGGACGACGAGGACGAGGAGGAGGAGGTGGTGGAGGGCCGCGGTCAGCCCGAACCATCACAGATAGGCCAGCAGGCCTCAGGCAGAGACTCCAGACGTCGCTGCCCCAGGGAAACAGCGGTGAGGACGCAGAGCTCAGCAGTAGGAAGGGGCAAGGGTGCGCACGAGCAGCCGGCCTCATGTTGCATGCTCTGAGCGCGGCGGCCTCCTCTACCCTCCTCCGCGACCCTCTCCTCCCTTTCCGTGCAGCCTCGGTGCGCAGTGGGACCTGCCGCGCCCCTGCGTTGCTGCTCGACGGCTCGTGTCCTCCGTCGCCGCTGCACGAGTTTGTGATTGATCTCCTGAGGGTCGGCTTGATGTTGTCATTCGCCCCCGGGAACTCGAGGGAGCGAGGCCACCAACCGACCCTGGAACTGGAGCACCTCCACCCCTCCTCCCACTGCAGTCTCCCAGGGTGCTGCCCCGAGACATTCGCATCGGTGAGACGTAAGACTCGGGCTCGGGGGGCTCGGGTTGGCCTGGCGGGGCCTTCATGAAAATAACGAGACCCAATCTGAAATGTGACGCGAGCTCCCGCTGCAAACATCCCTCGAAAACTGAACCGTCGAAACCCAGGACGCCGAACCAACGCACTCGAGTCTTAGAGTTCCCCGATCGTAGTCCACCTCCTCTTCCTCCCTCAAGCTCCCCCTCCCTCCATCTCATCAATGCCCTCCTCTCTCGACCCCTTCCCTCTTGCCCGAGAGCTCGGTCGCTTGTCATTGTTCACTGCCACCCCTGTCCCTTGGACGACCGAGGCGGCTCCAGACCCTGGCCCTCAAGCTCTACATGGCCGATACCTAGGAACTAGGAAAAGCAACACCACCAGGGCGAGGATCGGGGGCGCGCAAACATGGATTAACGATCCATGGATTTGGCGCGCGGTCGCCAAATCCACGGATCGGGGAAGGTCCCCTCCTCAAAACGCGGCCAGTTCCGCCTCGTTCGGCGGCGGAAATCCACGATTTCCCATGGAAACGGGACCCGTCGCTAATCCACGCCCCCTTGATCCATGCTTGCGATCGCCTGAACCAGGGCGAGGAGATGCGAGGAGCAAGGGGGGCCTCCCTGGTGGTGTGGTCCCCTCTTCTCGCTCGAGACATCCCCAGCCCTCAGCTCGGGGAAGCATCGTGGACCTCCTCGCTGGAGGTGCCCCCCCTGGTGGTGTTGATGTCGCACCTCCTCCCTTCGAATCCCAGACCTCTGGATCCAAAAAAATGCTGCCATCTCTTGGGGGCGCATCTTTTGCTCCCGCCGGCCTCCCGCCGGCCACACGCTGGCGAAGAGGTCGCCCCGCTCCAGATAATTCCGCGGGCCTCTACCCCGCCATTCCGCCGCGCTCTCCGCCGAGTGCCACACACAATGACTCCCATGGTCCTCGCAGGCGAGGCCAGTGTTGGAATGCCTCACATGCACACACACGCACAATTTTTAGGAGCCCGATACGGGTACGGACAAAAAATGGGCGCAATGCCCAACCACAACCGTTGGCCAAAACCGACCGCGGCCGCTGCTGGGCCGGCGGCCTTGTCTTCAGTGAGAACACCGTCCGCGGCGGCGCGGGCAGCGAGTCCGGCCCAGAACAAGAGCAGCAACTGCTAGCGGGCACCGCACCCACCTTTTCCGTACCCACCTCGATCGTCCCGAAACAGTGAGGGAGCAGAAGCCTCCCAGATGGGGCCGGAGTAGATAGGGTCTGTGGATCGCGCCGCATCGCCGATAAAAATCGCCGATGCATCGCCGATGCACCGGCGATGCATCGCCGACGTGGGCGCTGCATCGGCAGCGTCGGCGTGAAGCAAGTGGGGCTCCTCCTCGAGCCGCCTCGGCGAGGCCTCGGCGGTGCGGCGCGACCCTCCGGCCCCATCTGCCCCAGCCCCCCCATGTGGGAGGCCCATGTGGGAGAGGCCGAGATGCGCACGGGACTCGGGCACTCCCCGCGGGAGGCGGCGGCACGCCGACGCGGCGGCCACGAACCCCCCCCCCACCCCCAGACCTCCGACGTCTCGATTTTTTCGAGACACGGGACCCGGACCTCCCGACCACATCCCCAGGGCCGGTTTGTCGCCCCGAGTCGTTTTTTGGCGGTCCCGAGGCCCGGCGAGGGCCCCGAGAGGCCGAAAACGACGAAAAACCTCCGTCTCGATTTTTTCGAGACGCCCGATGTCTGGGCCCCCCGCCGCGGGGCGCGCGGGGGCGCGCCGCGTCACACCTTCAGGTGCGCCGCCCGCGCGGCGAGCCACGCGCACCCGGGCCCGGCGCCCTCTCGCCCAAGCCGCTCGCGGGCGCTCGCGCCGGGCTGGCGCGCACCGCTCCCCTGGAGCGCCACGTCGGCGAAGATGTGGTGGGCCTGTGGTCCACCGCCACCACCAGGAGTAGGAGGGGGAGTGGGTCCTCCTGCTCCTCCTCCTCCTCCTCCTCCTCCTCCTCCTCCTCCTACTCCTCCTCCTCGCTCCTCCTCCTCCTCCTCCTCCTCCTCCCCCCCTCCCCTCCTCCTCCTCCTCCTCCTCCTCCTCCTCCTCCTCCTCCTCCCCTCCTCCTTCCCCCCTTCCAACTCATGGTGGTGGTGGCGGAAAACAAGCCCATCAAGATGGGCAGCAGGAACCACAGGACCCCGATCAGGAACCAGACGTCGTAGCGCACAGGCGGCACGAGGCGGCAGGCGCGGTCCATGATCGCGTCGGCGTGGCCCGAGAGGATCGTGAACTGGTGCTCGAGGTCCTCGTGGTGGCTCATGTGCCGCTCGTGGCCGAGCAGCAAGCCCTGACCCTGCATGAACTGCACGATGGCTGGCAGCCACTCTGGCGGCATGTGGGCCCAGCGGTGTGCAGTCTGTGACTACCTACCAGACCACCCCAACCCAACCCGAAGACCCGAATTTCGGGTTGGGGGGGGTAAGGGTTCCACGCGTGTTTTTTCGAGGTTTCCCGACACCCCCCCCACTGGAAATCGAGGGTAAATCTGAGCCTTCGGGTTGGGTTGGGGTGGTTTGGTGGGTGGTGAGTCTGGAAGAGGTGGGCCCAAACTCCGCCCCAGAACCAGAACAGACGCTGTGCGCGGGAGGCGCCGCTGAGAACTACAGCAACTTGGATGACAGGGCAGAGGAGGTGAATATGCGAGACGTACGCGAACCAAGAGATGCGGATGATCGCCGTGGGGTCGTAGTGATGGTATTGGAATCCACGCGCCAGAGTGCCGATGCCTGGCAAGTGAAACGGTGCATAATCCAAGACAAGATGGATGATACCGCTCGTCATGTCCATGTAGAGAAAGCTCGCGAGACAGATCGCTAAGCGAAGGCGGAACGGGAGCGGTCTGGACGAAGACGCTAATGGGAATGGTATGGCTTCAGCTTGCGCGCAGACAGCACCCTCAGGTGGTCCCGGCTGGCCTCAGCAGGATCCCCGGTAGTCCCAGCCGGCCGCAATAGGACCCCAAGTAACCCAGGGGCCCGCCCCGGGTCGCGGAGCGCACCAGGGGCGCCGGGGGAGGCGGCGGGGGGTGTTGCGGCCGCCCCAGACCACCTGGAAGGCCTGTTGAGGAGGGGCCTGCCGAGGCCAGCCAGGGCTAACTACCTAGGGGGGCGCTGTCCGCGCGCAACCCGAAACCTTACCAAATGGGAGCAGGTCTGCTAAGAGGTGCTTCCGGATCGCCCAGTGTGCCAGAATCGTCAGCATCAGCACGACGCCCACGAGCTTCACGAGCTGCTCAACGTTGTAGCTGCCCGCCTCCTGGCCGACGGCGTTGTGGAAGCCCGCCGGCACCTGCCTGCCGAGGTTGACGAGGCGCGTGTGCTGCGTGTGTGTGTGTGTGTCTGTTGTGTGTGTGTGTGTGCTGTGTGTTGTGCTGTGTGCTGTGTGTTGTGGGCTGTGTGTGTTGCCCGTTGTGTGTTGTGTGTGTGGTGTGTGTGTGTGTTGTGTTGTGTGTTGTGTGTTGTGTGTTGTGTGTTGTGTGGCGTTGTGCTGTGTGTTGTGTTGTGTTGTGCTGTGCTGTGCTGTGTTGTGCTGTGTTGTGTTGTGTGCGACGGTAGGAGCTGTTCCCCTCCTCCCCTCCCCCTGTTCCCCCTCCCTTAAGACGAAGCCAAGACGATGATAAAATCGGTTGAGGGTAAAGCGAAAGTCTCTGAAATCCCGTGGCGCTGGAGAATGTCTCGGGTGCCGCGGCATTCTCAGAGCGTTCTGGAACACTCAGAGCGTTCCGAACGCTCTGAAAGCGTTCTGGAACGCTCTCGAACGGATTTATCCTCGTCCTAGCCCCGTCCGACCCTTCCCCTGACCCCAGAGCACCCTCCCTGAAAGTCCAAAATCCCGCCTGAGGGGTCGGGACAGCTTGGTGAGGCTCCGGGCTGCGCACAGGCAGCCCCCCAGGTAGTCCCGGCTGGCCTCAGGCCCCCCGATCGGTCCCAGCTGGCCTCAGCAGGCCCCCCACATCGTGCAGGGCGCTCTCCTCACACCTCAAGCCTGCGGCGCGGAGGGCCCCAAGAGCCGGGCGGTCTGCGCGCAGCCCCGAAGCCCTGCCAGCGCAGCTCGTCCACCACCCCCCGTGGACCCCGGCGGGATGGCACGTGCCCCCCGGGATAGAATGCCACGAAGTCCTCCCTGTACCTGGCCTCGTCGTACGGGGCGCTGCAGTCCTCCGGCTGGTCCTGGAGGTCCAGGGCCTCCTGCATTCTGAGGCGCACCGTGGCCGCATTCTCGGACGGATGGGAGAGGCGCCAGCGTCGACGTCGGGGGGCACACAGGATCGCAGGCGCCAGCGGCAGTCCTCCCCTCCTCCAGCCCCCCTGCAGCCCCCCCCCCTCCTCCAGCCCCCCATACCCGCCCCCCTGTCCCCCTGCTCCCTCTGCTCTTCCCAGGCCTGCGACGTCTTGTTTTTTTCAAGACGGCGGCCCTGGAAGTCCCGACCCAACCCGAAGACCCGAACTTCGGGTTGGGGGGGGGGACGCGGGCTTCACGTGTGTTTTTTGTGGCGAGGCTGCCGGACCCCCACGCCGCTGGAAACGCATGGCAAATCAGGGCCTTCGGGTTGGGTTGGGGCGGCCTGGTGGGCGGTGGAGCGCGTTTCTTCGTGTTCGGCGATGACGGGCGTCATGGGCGGGGGGGGGGGGGCGAGGGGGGGATATGACGTAACGCCCCCCCCGCCGTGTGGCTTCGGCACCGCAGCCGCGCCCGCGCGCGCGACGCGACGAGCGACGAGCGACGAGCGACGACGACGACGACAACGACGACGACGCCGACGACGACGACGCGAGCAGCATGTAGGTGGCGATATGCCCCACTGCGCCTGTGTACACCACCGCGCTCGCGTGCACCACAACGCGCGTGTATACCATAGCGCATGCGTACACCGCAACAGCCGTGTGCAACGCAGCGCCTGTGTACACCAAAGTGCCTGCGTACACTACAGCGCTGGTGTACATGTGTACACCGCAGCTACCATGTGCAACGCAACGCCTGTGTACACCACAATGCTGCAATGCTTGTGTACACCGCAGTGCCTGTGCACACCACAGCGCGCGTCTACACCACAGCATCCGCGTGCAACGCAGCACTGGTGTACACCACAATGCCTGCGCGCATAAGACAGGTAGAAAGAGCATGTACGTGAGGATCTGCTGCGGGCAACTAGACGCCACGCCAGGGATGTGCTGCTAATCGAATGCGACGTGTTTCCCTCCTCCCTCCTCCTCCACCTCCACCACATCCTCCTGCTCCTTTTCCTTTTCCTCCTCCTCCTCCTTAACCCTGTCGTTCGGATTAGAGCTACAGCGCACGTGCGCATCTCAGCGCGCACCGCAGAAATGGTCGATTAAATCGGTCCATTTGGTTCTCGGACGGCCAACTTAGCTGGAGCATCCTGGACGCAGATGGGAGCAGTTAGGGTGATGTGGGCGGACTCGGGAGGACTCGTAGATTCCAGCGGCGCTCCGCTGTCCATAAGGATTATGTTATATTGCTTTCTGTGGAATCCACAAACGCTCCATTTTGTCATACGGATTCGTTCTAACATTCTATATACAACAGTGGTGCTGTGTTGCACACTGTTGCTGTGGTGCACACAGGCGCCGTGGTGCACACAGGCACTGCAATGCAGGGAGGCATTGTGGTGTACACTGGTGCTGTGTTGCACACGGCTGATGTGGTGTACGCAAGCGCTGTGGTGTGCACAAGAGCTGTTGTGCCCGCAGGCACGGTGGCACAAACTGACGCTGTGTTGCACGCGGCTGCTGTGGTGTACACAGGCGCTGTGGTGTGCACAGGCGCTGTGGTGCACGCAGGCATTGTGGTGTACACAGGCGTTGTGGTGCAAATCGCCACCTACATGCTGGCGCTACCCGTCCTCCGTCATTCCTAAGCATTCCCAGACGCCGCCAGCGCGAAACGTGACGTCATTGATCCCCTCTCCCCCCCTCCCTAGATGATTGCCGTCATCGGCCCGGAATGAAAAACAGGCTTCAGCCGCGTCCGCGCGCACGACAACTATGAGCGACGAGTGACAAGCCACGAGCGACGACGACGACGACGACGACGAAGACGACGACGATGACGACGACTGCGGACCAGACTCCCATGTGGATTCCTACGCGGACTCCTACGCGGATCCCAATGCGCACGGCGGCAGCGCCCAGAACGCACTGGGGGGGGGAGCGTTACGTCATAGGGCGGGGGGGCGCGGGGGCCATGACGCCCGTCATGCCCCCAGCAATGAAGAAACGGACGCGTGACACACGGCCACGTGGTCAGCGTGTCGCGACGATCTTGGCGTGGTGGTCGGGAGCCGGCGGCGCGGCACGCTGCGCAGGACGTTCCCGGCCGTGGCCCCGTGGCTGGCGGAGGCGGGTGGGGCCCCAGCCTGCCCCAGGTGGTGGGGGCAGCCCCTGCCCAAAAGCAGCAGGGGCGACCGCCCGGGGGCGTTCCCTCCCCAGGTGGCTGCTAGCCGCGTGGGCCTCTCGGCGGTCAGAGAGCTCCACCCTCCCACTGTCGGTGGGGCGCGGCGGGCGGCTTTCTCCTCTCGGGGTATCCCCCCCCTTATCTCGTCGCCACGTTTTGCTGCCCACCCATTCCCCCCACGGTCTGGGTACCCCGCCCAGGCGTGCGTGGGGGTGGGCGGGTCGCCTGCGGGCGGCTCATCGGAGTATCCCCACCCAGCCTTCCCACGGCCGTGGTCCCCCGCCCGGCGCGCGTGGGGGTGGGGCGGTCTGTCGTGGGAGTGGTGCCCCGAGGAGGCTTGTCGGGGCGGCGCGGCCTCCTGGCGTGAGGCGTGTCGTTACGGTTGGGCGCAGCTCGAAAATGCCGTGGAGCAGGTAGTGCGCGCACTGCTTGCCTGTCGGCCCGAAATGCACCGCTAGTGCCTGCTATTTCTCACCTCCAGTGCTCTGCTCTGGTGGTCACCTTGGTGTGCTGTTGTTCATCGGGGAACGGTTCAGGTCAAAACAAATCCTCCTCCTCCTCCTCCTCCTCCTCCTCCTCCTCCTCCTCCTCCTCCTCCTCCTACTCCTACTCCTCCTCCTCCTCCTCCTCCTCCTCCTCCTCCTCCTCCTCCTCCTCCTCCTTTACATCCTCTACATCCTCCTCCTCCTCCTCCCCTCCGCCTCCTCCTCCTCCTCCTCCTCTCACCTCCTTCCTCCTGCTCCTCCTCCTCCTCCTACCCCCTCCTCCTCCTCCTTTGCACTCTCCGCCTCCTCCCTCCTCCTTCCTCCTCCTCCTTCTCCTCCCCTTCTGTTCCTCCTCCTCCTCCTCCTCCTCCTCCTCCTCCTCCTCCTCCTCCCCTCCCCCTCCGTTCCCGACCGCAGCCCCTACTCACCCCTCCCCTCCTCCAGCCCCCCCCCCCAAATTTCCCCCGCCCCCCATGCTCCTGCCCTCTGCCCTCCCCTCTCGCATCCCCTCGCCCTCTGCCCTCTT